TAACCATGTTTCAAAAATGGAAGTAAAAGCTTCGAATTTAATTTTTGTAATTAAATTAAAGACATTAGTTCCATTTCATCCTCAAGCGAATTTTGGAGTAACTTATTACTGGGTTTTAAAAGCACAGCAAAAATCTTAATTCACGTTTCCAAGGATACAGAGAAATCCATTCATCTAGACTAGGGGCGTTTGCGAGTTCATTATCGCTGTAGTTTGTTGTATCCGTTATTAGTTACGTTTTGGTAGGGGTAGGGATATAATTTTCAATGAATTCTGACATCCGTTAAATGCATGTCGTCTGGATTTTTAAAAAATTTATTGTTAACGGCAAAATTTCTTACGCCATTTTTTTTTTGTATACTTAAAGATTTTTGTGGGGTTGTTTAGGTTAGAATACGTTTTATTTATTTAACTGCGATTTAAAAAAAAAATTCACTTTCAATTTTTAATACACTATATTTCTTTTTAAAACAAGTAAATGTATTAGAATCCCTTACAGTATGTAAAATTATTTCACATCAAGTATAAGTATGTATATTGCTAGGTCACAATTTTAAAAAAATATTTATATTTAAATATTAAGTAAAATTTTTGACAATGACGGCAAAAATAGCTAATTAATTTCTTTGATTTAGTAAACTTTTATTTTTTATATATTTTATATAAATCCAGTAATATATAGTTTCTCTTGTAAGTACAAAGGACATGGGTCACTCAATGGCTTACATCTTCTAGCATTTCATCATAATTTCATTTTACTGTAGGTATTTTATTGGATTCTTTTAAGTGCTTGTAGTATTTTGAGAGAGGTGTTTAGGTTAGAATACGTTTTATTTAATTACAATTTTAAAAGATGTTTAGGTTAGAATTCGTTTTATTTAACTACAATTTTAAATACAACTTTAAAATATTTTCACTGTTAATTTTAATAGACTATATTTCTTTTTAAAATAAGTAAATGTATTAGAATTACTTACAGTAAGTAAAATTATTTTTCCATATCAAGTATGTATATTACCAGGTCACAATATTTAAAAGATTTATTAAAAAAACATTATTTAGGAGAGAGAACAATAAAATGAAATTAAGATGAATGAAATCCTAGTCAAAACTGAATAATGCCTAACAATGCTTCATGTAATAATAATAAAATTCATTATAATATTATTACTAATACTACTAATGTAATAAAAAGCAAATGAAATTAAGATGAATGAAATCCTAGTCAAAAACTGAATAAAAAGCAAATGCCTAAAACAATAATGCTTCATGTAATAATAATAAAATTCATTATAATATTACTACTAATACTACTAATGTAATAAAAAGCAAATGAAATTAAGATGAATGAAATCCTAGTCAAAACTGAATAATGCCTAACAATGCTTCATGTAATAATAATAAAAATCATTATAATATTATTACTAATACTACTAATGTAATAAAAAGCAAATGAAATTAAGATGAATGAAATCCTAGTCAAAACTGAATAATGCCTAACAATGCTTCATGTAATAATAATAAAATTCATTATAATATTACTACTAATACTACTAATGTAATAAAAAGCAAATGAGATTAAGATGAATGAAATCCTAGTCAAAACTGAATAATGCCTAACAATGCTTCATGTAATAATAATAAAATTCATTATAATATTGCTACTAATACTACTAATGTAATAAAAAGCAAATGAAATTAAGATGAATGAAATCCTAGTCAAAACTGAATAATGCCTGACAATGCTTCATGTAATAATAATAAAATTCATTATAATATTACTACTAATACTACTAATGTAATAAAAAGCAAATGAAATTAAGATGAATGAAATCCTAGTCAAAACTGAATAATGCCTAACAATGCTTCATGTAATAATAATAAAATTCATTATAATATTACTACTAATACTACTAATATAATAAAAAGCAAGTGAAATTAATATGAAAGAAATCCTAGTGAAAAATGAATAATGCCTGACAGTGCTTCATCTAATAATAATAAAATTCAAGATAATATTACTACTAATACTACTAATGTAATAAAAAGCAAGTGAAATTAAGATGAAAGAAATCCTTGTCCAAAATGAATAATGGCTGACAATGCTTCATCTCATAATAATAAAATTTAAGATAATATTACTACTAATACTATTAATGTAATAAAAAGAAAGTGAAATTAAGATGAAAGAAATCCTAGTCAAAAATGAATAATGGCTGACAATGCTTCATCTAATAATAATAAAATTCAAGATAATATTACTACTAATACTACTAATGTAATAAAAAGCAAGTGAAATTAAGATGAAAGAAATCTTAGTCAAAAATGAATAATGGCTGACAATGCTTCATCTAATAATAATAAAATTTAAGATAATATTACTACTAATACAACTACTAATACAAATAATAATACAACCAGAAATCATTTTATTCGGACTATTTTTTTTTTTTTTTTTAGATGTTTGCGTTCTCGATGTTTTTCCTTGCGCTTTTGGATGCGAGGTTTTCATCCATATTTGCGAGCCTTGGAAAGGAGGGCACCATGGGTCTTCGTACAGAGACAGCGCGGGAATGAATGCACGCCTCTTTTCAGATTAAAAGAGTACATGTAACGATCGAAAATATTCAGGAATATTTTGTGACACAAATTCCAAGATGGAGGATTGCTCATCGACCGCTACTTTTTTTTTGGTCATTTTTCCCTATCAAGGCGATAAAAATCAGTAAGACGCAAGGGGTTACTGGGGGTTAAAGAAACCGGGGAAGGCAATAAAAGAACAGGGATCAAGAAAACAGATGACGACGACTGACGTTGAATTTAAAATTCTGAAGATCGGGGTTAAAGAGAGAGCAAGGAGCCAGAAAAGATAATTCTACAAGCAAGAAGTGGGAGAGAAAATATTAGCAGAGAACTTACATCTAGGAATTTCAATAATAAAGTGATGAGACCTAGCTGCCAATCTAGTACTGCGTTTAAATTCCTGAAGTGGAGGTACCAAAGAGGAAAACAATATTTATTTTATTTTAATCCAAAAATGTGGCAGAAGTCCAAGGGAGGGGGTAGGGGAAGGCTGGTCTTCAATATGTCTTATTTTAAACTTAGCTAGCCGCGATTACTGACCCAAGCACACCACAGTATTCCTTATACCAAAGACAACGCATTCTTACCATTCTTACTATAGCTACCATAATACCTCAAAGTCTGTATGTAGTCCTAATTATTTCCTATATGTACAATTTGTCTGTGGTTTCCAAGACAGTCAGTCTAGGGATGAGGAAGACTGGCATATGTCAGTGCTGGTCTGAAATAGACTATACCCACATGTGGTAATTTTGAATTTTTTGCTGTATAAAATATATGCTCTGTTATAATAAATACATTGAGCTCTCTCTGTGGATCAGTTTTAACATCTAATATTACTAGGATCCACCTGGATTATATACCAACGGATTTATTACCTGTACTATATATATATATATATATATATATATATATATATATATATATATATATATATATATATATATATATCCAAGTATAGGATTGGTGTATACGGAAGAAATTCCAATAACCAACAATTACTATTCTTAAAAGAGTGCTTAATACAGAGTAGAGCAGATATAATTATTTATTTAAAAATTATAACATAAATATGTTATAAAATCACTACAAAAATAGCCATTTTGTTTCAAAACCTCCGGTGTCTTATCAAGTGATGATGTTTAATGTAGAATAAATGATTTTAAAAGTTCCAAATTAATTAACGATCCTTCGCAAGGGGAAAACGCTGTTACATAAGCTAGAATGACCAATCAAATCGCAAGTATAGGAGAATTCAAAAAACTTGACAACGAAGTAAGGTTTTAATAGCTATTAAAAGCTTTAAAATTGGGGTTATACTAAAAATAGAATTTTTTCTAACCAATAAGTATTAAATTATATGATAAAATTTGATATTAAAATTAAAAGTGAAAAATTACCAATTTTAAAATCTAAATTTAATCGCTATTAAGTTTAAAATTATAAAATTACTGAGGAGAAAAGAAAAAAACATATGTTATTCAATTTATTTTTTCATTGAAATTACGTTAAAATAGACGCTAATATCGGCTGGTCTTCCTGACAAAATGTATACATTTTAATTCCAAGTGCGTGAGTGGGGTGCTAAAAGAATACAAACACACTAAGATTATAATACATAAGCACCCAGACATATTTAGATATATATACACACAAAAAAAGTGACGAGACAGGAAACATCTCCACGGACCTTTATAAAAAAAACAAAAAAAAAACAAAAAAACAAAAAAAAACGAACACATACATACATACATACATACACAATTAAATGTGCATGCATTTTCTATACACATAGACACCGATAAATACATGTACACACATCCACATACATTGATCTAGACAATCTGATACAACATCCAAGAAATATTCAAGATTGAAAGTGTTATGAAACGAATGCTAACCACTTATTAAAATATAACTTATACGGGCAAATATACAGAGATAAAAATGGTCAAATAGAACAATTATATGCTTAAAAATAACATTATCTAATATATTAAAAACGAAAATTCCAAACGCAGAAACATCTATAAGAATATATATTTTTAATCATATAAGTCGATATACGCCTTATTATACATTAGGTAAAAGAAAATAAGATAATAAGAAATACCTACAGATATACGTGTACAGTCACACATATATACATATACACACATACACACAAATATATGTTTACACATATCTACATATATATATACACGCATACACATATGTATATATACACATACAGAAGCAAGTATAAATATATCAACCCACACGGCGACGTAAAAAATAAACAAACCAAATAAAAAAATATATATACATACATGCACATTTATACAAATACACATATACGTACATATACACGAACACATAGATCCACTATGCCACGTACACAAGTTTGAATCCTCATCATCCCGTTCCTATTCCATTAGTAAGAAAGAAGTTCCATTCTTTCTTTCCATCCTTTTCTTTCTTTGATATTCTTTCTTTGCTTTTATCTCGTTACTTTCTTTTGTCTTTTATCATCTTTCTTTCTTTTATATCTTTTCTCTTTTTCTTTATCGTTTTTCTTTGCTCTTATTTTGTTTGTTTGCTTCTTTGTTTGTTTGTTTCTTTCTTTCTTTTAATTCATTTCTTTCTCTCTTTCTTTCCTTTTCATTTTTTTTTGCTTTTATCTCGTTTCTTTCTTTCTTTCTTTCTTTCTCTCTCTCTCACAATTTCTTTCTTTCTTTCGTTCTTTTTTTGCCTTTATCTCGTGTTTTCTTTCTGTTTTTCCATTTTTCTCGTTTCTTCCTTTGTTTTATCTCCTTTCTTTCTTTCTTTTTCTTTCTTTCTTTTTTTTCCTTTCTTTCTTTCTTTCTTTCTTTCTTTCTTTCTTTTGTCTTTTATCTCGTGTTTTCTTTCTCTTTTTCTTTTTTCTCGCTTCTTTCTTTGTTTTATCTCCTTTCTTTCTTTCTTTCTTTCTTTCTTTCTTTCTTTCTTTCTTTCTTTCTTTGCTTGTATTTCGGTTTTTTATTTCTGTTTTTCCTTTTTTTCTAGTTTCTTTCTTTTGTGGTTTTTATCTCGTTTTCTTCCCTCTTTCTTTCTCTTTTTCATTTTTCTTTTTACTTTATTCTCATCTCATTTATTTTCTTCTCGTTTTTTCTTTCTTTGCTTTTATTTGGTTTATTTCCCTCTTTATTTCTTTGCTTTTATCATCTTTCTTTCTTTCTTTCTTTCTTTCTTTCTTTCTTTCTTTCTTTCTTTCTGTGATTTTATCTCGTTTCTTTCTTTCGCTTTTTCTTTCTTTCGTTCTTTTTTCTTTATTTATTTTGTTCTTTCTTTCTTTCGATTACCGCCCCTTTTTTCTTTTTTTATGGCGTTTCTTTCTTTCTTTCTTTCTTTCTTTCTTTCTTTCTTTCTTTCTTTTATTTCTTTCTTTCTTTCTAAACTCGTTATTACAAGATTTAATTTCTTTTCTTTCTTTAAAAAAAAACACGTCCTTCTATCAAAATGATTACCTCTTCCTCTCACGTTTATGAAGCACTGAATACAAGACATGGGTCAGATTACACAATTGTGATTATTGTATAAAAAACAAAAAACAAAAAAAACAAACAAAAAACAAACAAAAAACAAAATAACAAAAGCAACCCCCCCCCCAAAAAAAAACAAACAAAAAACAACACAGTCTTCGTAAACAGTATTTTCTTTAAAAGTCACTTGTTCACTTGTATCTAATTCCAGAGGATATCCACCAGACCGGGAGGGGGGGTCGTTGTTTGCTTCACACGGCCAAGAAATCTTTTCTTATTATCCAGTACTTGCTGGGTTAGACTTTTCTAGACGTCTCCCAAACTAGTTAGGAAAGCAACACTGAAAGGGTCTTCTGGACATTTATATTCCGTTAGTATGCAAGATACCTCCCCTTCTTAAAACAAATTGTTGAAATATATATATATTAATAACTTTTTTGTTTATACGTTATTTTTATAGATACAAATATTTAAGTAACTGCTTTGTTTATAATAAACAGTATTAACAACAGGCGGCGTGATGGGTCGCCTCTCGGATTGAGGAATCGGAGAGCCGATTTGAAGTCGCTATCCTGGTTTAACGTCTTCAGGGTCTGGAGGAACTGGTCTAAATTTTCTCCCAGTTGTTGTCGGGTAACGGTGAGTAACGAGAAAAAAAATTAGTTTTTTTTTTCTTAAAAACATCAGATACATATTCCTTGCAAGAAGAAATATTTGATATGGTGAAATTACAGAGTAAGCATTTCAGTCCCTGATATTTTTGTCGACGTGGAAATCTGGGATGAAAGAAAGCTGTCGAAGAGTTTCCCCATTGGCACCAGCTAGCAGTAGTAGCCGAGACAGACCGATCTAAGCGTTTATGTGCCATGCACGCTTAGGGGATCATGTATCTTTCGAGGCAAATAGTAGGTTGCCATTTCTTTCTAGGGTTCTTTCAAAGCTATAGAACCCGGTTTGTTCTGCTATTTACTCATATCTGGGGGTGGGAGAAGATGATTCATACCTTTCCCGAGGGTATTAGCACGTAAGCGAATGACTGGAATTCGAACTCGGCTCTCCGAGCCGCTATCCATTACTCTACCGTATTTGTCCATAATTGCTTTGAATTAATGATAAAGGAAACAAACGAACCTTTAAGCCCAGTCATCCTGGGTATGACGATAAACTACACCCGGCAGCAAGGACTCTGGGTCGTTTAATGCTGAATTAATTTGCTGTTGCTCCCAGGTCCACCATGATCCAGACGGTTAGCATCTGTTAGGGTCAGAGTTATGGATACCTAATAAAGCCCCAATTAAAAATCAACACAGCATTTTATAATAAAAAAATGACCAACGATATATAATAAGAGAGATAAGGGTAGGCAGCGAATCGTTTACATGACGAGCCTATATAAATGGATGGCGGAACGGAGGAAAATGGCAAAATGGAGGAAAATTGCTTAAAGCCACACAAGATCGAAAGTTGTGGAGAGCCATGATCGCCTATGACCTGAAGTGGCGCAACACATAAAGAAGAAGAAGCTAATAATGCATAACACCGTTTTACTCTCTCTCTCTCTCTCTCTCTCTTCTAAACATTTCTAGGTATGTTTATTTTTTTCCGAAAGGCTATTTTGCCGATCCTGGTAAAATAGACGCCAAGACTATTTGCCGACCCCGGGAAAAATAGATAGCAAGGCTATCCCGTTGAAATAGACACCAAGGTTATTTTGCCAATCCCGGTAAAATAGACGCCAAGGCTATTTTGCCGATCCCGGTAAAATAGATACCAAGGCTATTTTGCCAATCCCGGTAAAATAGATACCAAGGCTATTTTGCCAATCCCAGTAAAATAGACGCCAAAGCTATTTTGACGATCCCGGTAAAATAGACGCCAAGGCTATTTTGTCGATCCCGGTAAAATAGATACCAAGGCTATTTTGCCGATCCCGGTAAAATAGATACCAAGGCTATTTGCCAATCCCAGTAAAATAGACGCCAAGGCTATTTTGCCGATCCCGGTAAAATAGACACCAAGGCTATTTTGCCGATCCCGGTAAAATAGACGCCAAGGCTATTTTGCCGATCCCGGTAAAATAGACACCAAGGCTATTTTACCAATCCCAGTAAAATAGACGCCAAAGCTATTTTGCCGATTCCGGTAAAATAGACGCCAAGTCTATTTTGCCGGTAAATATAAACAGTGTTTTAGAACTAAGAATATATTTTATTTGAGATCGTCAGCGCAGTGGTTGTGTGAGCTGTGTAGGCAGGATTTGAACGACACAGGTTCTGTGATCTATGACTTTTTGTCTTCAGTGGGTGCACCTGAAGTATATTTAGCAAGAGAAACAAGTCCAGCGGTAAGTTTGGAATTTGTAGAGACTTTTATGACTGAAGCACTTAAAATATTTAGAGACTTCTATATTTCTTTTAATAATTGATGATAAATAAATGATTTTTAACTTGTGTTTTAACAATTGCTGGTGAAAATAAATAAACATCTGTCTTAATTCTGCGTGTTGCTATTTTTAACATTATCTGCTTTCATCATAATAAAAATATTTACTGGCAAAATAACCTGGGGGACTATTTTTTACCGGGCCCGGCAAAATAGCCTCTTCCAAAATAATAACTGATTTCAGGGACCATTTTGCTGCCCATTGATCCCCAGAATATTTAGGAGCACAACAGCGGCAAAGTACCGGAAATTTTCATGGATAAATCGAGGTATAAAAGTATTTTGGATTTTAAAAAATATCGGTTGGCCTGTTTATGTATCTTGATTGCTTTGGGAATTTTTTTCTTTTTGGGGATGGGTGAGGAGCGCAAACTGAGGTGTTCGACAACGACTGCCTCCGTCGCATCCTGCACTGCCGACGCGTCGACCGGGTCCCTACCACTGAGCTCCGCCGCCGCCTCGGCCTACGCCCTCTGCCCGCAGTCCTTCTTCAACGGCGTCTCCGATGGCTCGGACACGCTGCGCGCCGGTCGAGAGGGGACCTGATACGGGACGTTCTCCTTCCCACACCGCCGTCCACCTGGCGGAAGCGAATAGGCGGACAGCTGAAGACGTGGGCCTCAACGATCAAGGAGGATCTGGCGCTACTTTCCGGCCCGTATGTGGTCGGCCTCCGCCGCTGGAACCGCGACTGGCTTGCCATCTCGTGCGACCTCGCGACAGACCGACGGGCGTGGGCAGCAATGGTACGTGATGCGGTGCGTCAACAGGAAGAAGCCGGCTCAAAGAAGAAGCGGAGTGGAATAACTTCGACTTAAGATAGATGTTTATTTTGCAGAGCATGGCCCTCCCTTGTGTTACTGGAGAGAAAAAAAGACATTTTTTTCCTGTTTGTAGGGCTCTTTCGATATAATGCTTTTTTGCTAGCAATAATCTTATATCAATGTTCTAAAACAATGGTTCTATAAAGTTTTTGTCTTGCTCCTTGCGTACCAAAATTAATGGTGGAAAAGGTTTTAAATTGTTTTAACAAGTGATGGGGGAAAATTTTTTAAATTGTCATAACAATTGACAATGAAAATAAATAAGCTTCTGTTTGTGTGTTGTTATTTTTAACATCATCTGCTTTCATAATAATAAAAATATTTCCCGGTAAAATAGCCTCTTCCAAAATAATAACTGATTTTGGAGACCATCTTGCTGATCACTGATCCCCAGAATATTAAGGTCTACAACAGAGGCAAAGTAAATAAGTAAGAAATTTTCAAGGATAAATTAAGGTATAAAAATATTTTGTATTTAAAAAAAATTGGTTGACCTGTTCGTGTATCTTGATTTCTTTCGGGATTTTTTTTTTCTTTTTGGGGATGGGTGGGGAGTAAAATAACTTAGATCTAGGATAGATCTTTGTTTCGCAGATCATGTCACCTCCCTTGTCTTACTGGAGAAAAAAACACATTTTTTTTTCAAATAGACACCAAGGCTATTTTGACATTAAATACAAATAGCGTTTTAGAACTGAGAATATATTTTATTTGAAATCGTCAGCGCTGTGTTTGTGTGATGTGTGTAGACAGGAATTGAACAACATGGATTCTATGGTCTGTGACTGTTGTCTTCAGTGGTTGCATCTGAAGTATATTGGCAAGAGAACCATTCCCAATGGCAAATTTTGGATCTGCAGAGACTGTTATGTATGAAGTATTTAAAATATTCGGAAATTTCTATATCTCTTTTAATAATTGATGATGAAGAAATGATTGTCACTTGTGTTTTAACAAATGATTGTGGAAAAGATTTTAAATTGTTTTAAGAATTGATGGAGAAAATAAATAAAATTCTGTGTTAAATCTGTCTTGATTTCCTTTTTTTAACATTAGCTGCCTTCATAATAATAAAAATATTTACTGGCAAAATAGGCTGACGGTCTATTTTGCAGAGACCAGTAAAATAAGCTTAAAAACATTCTCTGTGCTTGTGCATAAAATTGCCATAGGACTGCTATATATAAGCAGGGAGTCTTCTCTGCTTAAACTACTCTACTAATATCTCTTGTTCACAATTCATCCTAAGTAATGAAGAAATGAGAGTTTTTAAAAATGGTAACTAGTGCAAAAAGGATAATAAAAATAATTCATATTTTATTACACAAAAAAATCAAAGGCATGCATTCCATACATGAACGATTCGCCACTGTGTCTAAGAACTAAGAATATATTATATTTGTGGTCATCAGTGCAGTGATTGTGTGAGCTGTATAGGCAGGACTTAAACAACATGGATTCTATGGTCTGTTGTCTTCAGTGGGTACATCTGAAGAGAACCATGACCAAGGGCAAATTTCATATCTAAGCCGTCATAGACGTAAGTAAAAGCAGGAGGGAATTGGCTACAATCTGAAATTAGGCAAAAGCTTAAATTACTGAAAACTGCTTCTTCAAGACCTCAAGTGGCTTTTATTGCATAATAACAACACAGCCAAATCTTTGTCTTCAGTGGGTGTATCTGAAGAGAACCATGGCCAAGAACAAATTTGGGATTTGCAGATGTCTGAAGTGCTTAAA